TGAACCATTTGTAGGTGGGAATAAAAGGACATGAACTCTGGCATGCTAGGTAATAGGGCATGGACCAAAGTTAGGATTTTTATTCCATGGACAAGCAGCCACCCTTGTGGAAGCACCATCTGAGTTGGGTCTACCTATATACCCAGAGCAGGGGTGGTAAGCCGAGGCCAAGGTCAACTTCAAGGACCCCACAACTTTCTCCTTTGGAAACTATTTTTGGCTCATACAGAACAGATTGAAACATTTCAAACTCATACCAAGACTTAACTTGGAATCCAAAAATTTTCTTCGCTATTTCCACAATGTTTTTCCCTTTCTAAGTTGTTCACTTAATTGAATCCCTGTCTGTTCCTATCCTTCCCTTGGTTCCTTCCCAGAGTACAAAGATTTATATGTCTGCTCTCTCAACTGCAGCTTCCTTTCGTCCTTTCCCAATTGTAGATCTCTTCCGTATATCTGTTTTTTAAAGCTATATTCTTGGTTAAGAAAAAATTAGATGATATTTGGCTAGAGATCCAAGGAAATACAATTCTACCATTTCCCTAGGGACCAAGAAGCAGAAAACACACAAGGAGAAGTAGTACAAATGAAATGTAATACCACTTTCTTATTAGCCAGATGTGTATGATTTAGATGAATCCTATTTCCTATATACCACTGTAGACCATGAGGAAGTGCCTCTGGCCATTATGCTGTATTTATGTTCCAGGAGTAATAGTGACAGCCTTGCATTCCATTCCTGGAAATTTTTCCACTGTCAACCTGCCAGCACATACCAAATCATATCGTCAGAGACCACAAAACCCAAAATTCAGTGTATAATGGGAATGATCTGTGGTTATGATAGAACCAACATTGTGTTCTGTCCTTTTAGGCCAGTCCATCCTATGGGTAGCTTCAGACAACTATAAAGTAACCAGCAAAGACGCCGGAAGAAATGCTCTCAAGATGGCACGTATATGGGCAGATTCTGTCTCCCCCAGCTAAATGGGCAGGTAGGATTGGGTGTGTGAACAGCAGTGGAAGTTCTGAGAGGCTAAATGCAAAGTCAGGGGTCCAAGGGGAGCCCCAAAACTCTCCAGCACCTCAGGGTTCCATACACCAGTCCTGCACACCCATATCCAGGGTCTAGCCTAAGTGTGGTCCTCAGCCTTCATCAAGGAAACTTCTCTTTAAAACACACCATTACAGAAAACCATAACTGCTAAAAATAATGCAGAGTTGTGAAACCCAGTCCCAGCAGATATATCTACTCCCACATCTAAAGTCAGGAAGTATTTTGGAAGAGGGGGCAGAAAGATTATAAGAACCAGTGGATCAGAGTTTGCTGTGAGATTGTGTCTCTTAGTGATGAGAGAGGCTACACCCATGAAGTTTCACCAGCATGAAGGCCTGCACTTAAGCCACACAGAGACAACAGCAATAGACATGCTAACATGGACAGGGGAAAGCCCAGGAGACCTCAACCCTCCACAAAGAACTATAGACAACCAAGGACTGCTTAGAGAAGGAGAAATAGTCTTCCCCAGGGAGAGCACACCAACTGGCTACTAATACCAAATGCCCAGCCCTGAAAACATACGTACAAATAACACTGTTCAGATTGAGCAAGTTATATATGTGCACTTAGGAATACATGTATGCACATACATACATGTATATGTATATAACACTAACTAATGGAAAAGAGGCCATGAATTTGGAAGAGAGCAAGAAGCAGGTACATGGGAAGGTTTGGAAAGAGTAAAAGGAAGGAAAATTGTGTAATTATATTATAATATCAAAAAATAAAAAGTAAATAAAATTAAAAACTATAAAAAACTCTTTTCAACCATTTCTCAGCCATCTAAATGCATAGGAATGAAATAAGCCTAGTCAGGCCTGAATAGTTGAGATCCAGTAACTGAAGAACATATCCTGGAAGTTTCAGTGATTAGTTCTGAATGTTCTGTTGTAGCTACTCTTCTACAGGGCTTTTTCCCATCCCCTTTCTTCCTAACTCCTTGCACTAAAAGCTGAAATGCACCCTACTTCCAGAGAAGCATGGCGTACCAAGGACAGTTCTTATGTTGAAATCTGGATGTACACAAGCTGGAGCCTTGTATGTTTAAACTAACCACTCTAAAAATTAGACACTAGTGTTTTCTCTGGTGCCCTTATGTCTCATGGAATCATCTCTCTAGAGAACAAAGTCAGGTGGTAAGTTTACATGCCTAATAGAATCTTAGGGAAAGTACCTTGAGTTATAGACTGAGTACCCACAGGTATATCTTGTTTGACTTCAAATCCAGGTGCTCTGACCACACTACGTAGTGTTCCTCAATGACAAAAAAGGAGAGGAAGAAGGGCTGTCCTCTGCAAAGAAAGGGCTCCAGGACCCCGCTGTGTCTGCCACCTGTCCCCAGCCCTCCCAGTCCATGGAGGCATTTGAGTTTGTGAACCCTGTTCCAAAGCAATGACTCTCAACTTGAGATTACATCAGGATCACTTGAAGGGGATTTTCATGTCAGCCTCTCCCCTTCCTCCCAGATAGCTATAGACAATGGCACGTTGGCAGAAGTTTCTGTCCAGCCCAGTCCTGCCACCCTTCAGTCCCAAATAAACACACAGAGGCTTATATTAATTATAAACTGTTTTTCCTATTGTTCAGGCTCTTATTGGCTATCTGTCTTAATTGTTAACCTGTATATCTCCACATAGTCTTGGTTTACCAGAGAACGCCCAGGCATCCTATCTTTCCAGTAACTACATGGCATCTCTCTGTTGACTCTCTGAATTCCTCTTTCCAGAATTCTCCTAGTCTTGTAGCCCTCCCTATTCTTCCTGTCTGGCTACATCCTGCCTGCCCATTGGCCGAAACAGCTCTATTCATCAACCAATAAGAGAAACATATATTGACAGCATACAAAAGGACATCCCCTATCAATGGCAGTCTTAATTATCCAGACCATCAGTAAAACAGAAAGGAAAAGGTCTTACCTTTTTCCAAAGATTTAATTTATATTCCCTTCCTACCACCAAGGCAATAATGAATTTTCTAATTTATACAATTCATTCAAACAACCCATCAATGGAGAGGGCAAGAGAATTCTTGCATGGTGATCATTTCATACTGATAAAACCGTTAAATTATCCTAGTCCAAATAGTGCAACAGCATGTAGGATAAAGCTGCACTTTTTGGAGTTATAACCTATGCTTGGCATCTTTGCTAGGAATGAAAACAACAAAATTAAAACTAAGTAAGTTCAAAGTCTAGCCACAGCAATTAGTCCTGTAAGTCCATCTGTGTGAGAGTTGGGGTCTTGAGATCTGAAAACAGCCACCTTCACAACAAACTCTGAAACAATTCAGTTCCCAGGCTTGCTCAATAACAGCGCTGCTCAAGGTGTGTATGAGTGCTCTGTCTGCATGGAGAGCAACCTCTCCAGGGGCTTTCTGCTCCCCCAAACTGCCTGTGTCCTTGTGTTCTACACAGGAAGCATTTGAGACCCTTCCTGACTTAAGAATCGATGCTAGTGATTTCAATTATTTTAGTCACTTTTCAAAGGGCAGCCTCTCATCAGTTTAGGGAGATTTGTAGCCAACAGTTGTTTTCTAACCCATCTTGGATTCACATCTGAAGATTAGTACTGGGACAGTTTCAGCCAGTGAAAGTCACACGCCCTCCAGAAAACACACTCCCTGGCAAAAGCAGTTTGGCTGAGGAGGAGACACACAGCTGTCCTAATAATCTCAGTGTCACAGCAAGTTCCTTCCAAGTGGCTTCAGCAATGCCCAAGGAGATGTTAAACCCATTAACTTAAGTCAACTCGGGTACTGAGATGGCATCAGAGGTCAATGGACATGGTACAAGAGCATAAGACATTCTCAGGGCAATTACTGGAGGAGATGCCCTCCCATTATACAAAACTTCTGTAGATACTTTAAAGATGACCTGATGAGAAATGTGGGTAAGTGATAGCATTTGACAAAAATGTTTATAGACCCACTGGCTAAACATGTCTGAAGACTCCAGAGTATTTTGTTGTTTTGTTTTGTTTCCCCTGAAGTGGTATGCACTTCTGACAGCTCATCAAACAAAGGGAAGTAGGAAGAATAGAAAATGCATATTCATGTGTAATAACAGAGTAAAAAGACACTGTAGGAGCAAATATTGAGAGACAAACATTTTCCTAGAGAAAGTGGTACGTATATTTTAGCTTCATAAAAATACACTTGAAAGACAAAAAAAAAACCTTTTTTTTCCATTTTGGCTTCATTAGAACAACAAGAGGCTTTGTGTCTCCCATCAAAGCACACCCAGACCCTTTTGTCATGTCTGAGAAACTATTGATTCCTCTATTAAATTGTGCTATATGGAAAAATCCTGACAAGAGCAATATCATTTATTAGACTAACAAATATGTTAGTTGAACCAGCTTTGGAGACTTCTGAAATCCATTATACAACTGTAGCTCTTTTTCAGAGACCAGGATGTATTACAGAGACCAATTCTCGGGACACAGTATGACTAATTTACTGGCACATTCCAAGAGACCATTATATCTTAAGAAGTATAGAAAAATTATAACCTTCAACTTTGGAGAAAACCACTAACAGCTGATGTGTCTGCACTGAAAATCTCAACAAGCCGTGTCTACAGCGTCGAGTATTCCCCCCACTCAGCATTTTCAGGCACTAAAGAGGACACACAAAGAGGAACTTCAGACAGCAAAGTGAACGGGAAGTCTGCGCTCTTTTTGAAATGATTAACATGCACACGGCCATCCAGCCCTCACTCCAACACTGTCTTTTCTTACTGGGTTTCCCACACACCCTAGTCCACTCTTCACCTCTTTATTCCTGGTTCACTTTTTTCCTATGGATAATGCACCCACAGAGCCCTCAAACAATACACCCCAGTTCTAGATGAACACATTATCCTTCCAGAGCCCACCTTCTTCAGCCACTTCTCTTTGCAGAAAAGAGAACTGAAGCCCAGAAAGAAAATGAGTCTTACCCATCAGAACATGAGAACACACAGTGGCGCCTGCCTCCCAGTGTCACTCTCCGCCACCTCTCAGCTGTACAAACTCTGACTGTTGTAAATCAGATGAGAGAAGTGAAGCCCCGTCTTAACTTATAACATGTCTACGCAGCTTAGGACTTTCACCAGGAGATCCTGACTCTACTAAGAAGTTTGTCTCTCCTCTGCAATCAACAAATGATGCGTGGCTGGTGCCCTAGGTCTTAAACAGATAACCTGATCTACCTTCTGCCAAGTAGACACCCAGCCCTACTGAACCGTGTGGGTGGACAGGGAAAGGGATCTTTGAAGGAAATGACTTTTGAAGGGAGTTAGGAGAGATTCTGGGCCACTTGGTAACCCCCAAACACTCGCCAGTCCTCTTAGCCTCTGGAATAAAGTGGCAAAGTGAAACTTCATCATAAACCTCCTGTGAAGCCAAAAGGAGGGAGAAAACTCCAGCACCTGTATCCACATCAAGAAGAGAGGCTCGCCATCAAGCGGACCAGAAGAGTCAGGGCAATGCCAGCCTTGGTCAACAAGTCTTTGCGACTGTAGCAGCTGCTCGTGTAAGTGGAAGAAGAGAGAGAAAGCAGGTCTGGGGCTGACAGAGGGGAAGAAGAAAGAGAAAACGGGAAAAAAAACCTAAGTGAAAAGAGTTGTGGTAGAGAATTCTAATGTTTACCCATAAGCAGTTCTCTCTGCCATCTAGGACATTGTTCAGAGGGGAGTTGTTCACAGAGGAATCTCTCTTCCTAGCCCTTGGATTGGTCCAGATGACTGGTTAGGCCAAAATGGACTGCAGCGGTGTGCAGCATTTTCTACAAGCTGCTTCGTGACACCCTGCAGGGAGAACAGAAGCATCACCACAGAAGACATGTTGTATCAACACACGGGGACCTTTGTCCTAGAGTGTCACCCGGACTGCCAGACAATTTTGCTTCAGCAAAAAAAACAAAAAACAAAAAAAAACAAAAAAAAAACCTCTACCATTCAAGTCACTGAACTTCACTGGGTATCTTGCTAAAGCATATCCCGCCTCTGTCACTTGACAGAATAAGGGTTAGGAAGCAAAGAAGTGATGGAAAATAAGAAAAAAAAACAGAAGTCAAGGAGAAAGAGGGAGATAAAGGGAAGGAAGAGGGGGAGGAGGCAGAAGAGGGGGAGAGGGAGAGGAGAACGAAGGGGAGAGCCAGCTATAAGCCCTCATATAAACCACCTTCTGTTAGTGACAGAGACATGTGTTTCGTAACAGTTCCCGAGGGAGAAGCAGTGCTCAAGGGTCACAGCCTCACGCTGTGATGCGTGCATGCACTCATCTTCCTACTGAGTCACACTTAATGCAATACACATACACACATTAATTACTTATTCATTATCAAACATCCACCAAATGCCAGGCATCTCAAGGCAACGGAAGAGACCAAAACACAGGCATGGACACTGGCCTTATGGAGCCTATAAACTACTGCCACCCCCAAACTGTCAGAAGCCCCTGCCTACTGCACTTGGCAGAAGGACAGAATAATTGCAAGCTCAGGCACCAGGCAGTGGTAAGTTTAGGGACAGCACTCCCTGCTCTGTCTGGTTCTACAGGGACCAGCTCCTTGATCTTGACAAATTCATGAGTCACTTTTCTGTTGCTGTGATGAAATTGCCTGATGTAGATGACTTTGTGGAGGAGAGTTCTGCATCGGCTCACAGTTTCAGAGATTCAGTATCCCATGATAGGTTCCATCTGTCACTCAGACACTGGGCTCAGGGTGTGCCAGAGAGGAGCAACCCATATGGTAGAACGGTAGGAAGCAGGGAGGTGGGGTTTCCCTGGATTTGTACTTTCCTTCCAGGCCATCAGCACTTGTGACAGCGCTACCTGCCTTCAGGGTGGGTCTTCTTCTCCTGGAAATGCCCTGTCTGGAAATGCCCTCTCTGGAAATGTCCTCACAGATCCAGTCAAGACAGTCATGACATCAACCACAACCAAGAGTGAGCATTGAGGGTCAATGTCCTCATCTCTGACTTATGAAGTTAGGTGCAATCACCTCCACATCTCTTCAAATCTAATATAAAGTCAAGTCTTAATAACAGCCACCAACCAATTTTTATTGATCACTTGTTACTTTCCAGGCACCCACTGAGTCTGAACTATAGCATTTAATCCTTTTTAATCAGACTCCACAAAGAAATCATTTTTTTTCCTAGCTTGCAAATAAGCCTTAAAGAGGGGGAAGAGGCTTCTCAAGCCCACAGACCTAGTAAGTGCCACACTGGAACCATGGTCTAAAGGGAAAGCTGATAAGATCTTGAGCCTCCACCCCTAAGCATAGGGCAGATGGCTATGATCATAAGACATGTCTTTTACTGTGACCAAACAGTAAAAGTTAGATAGGGGGATGGAGGATGATACTGAGTTCCATCCCCAGGATCCACCAATAGAAAGAAGAAAACTGGCTTTAACCTCCACATACTTCACACACACACACACACACACACACACACACACACACACACACACACACACCGCACATACATAAAGACATGATAAAGGAAAAATAAAGCTGCTTTAAATGTCTGAGTAAAAAATAAAATTTTCCTTTAAAAACATTTAAGGAAATTTAACATGGGAAACAAACCAGTTATTTTGGGGGGTTGTTTCTTTTTTTTTCTCTTTCTTTCTTGGAGACATCAATGCTACATCCCCTCAGGTCCTAAAAGAGATAAAGTGCCTGTTAGAAAGTGTTGCATAATTGTTTTCCATCTTCGCTAGGAAATGAAGCACTTTCGTTTAGGACGTATCATGTTCCTGCTCTGTGCTGATCTTCTTGCCTCATCTAAGCCACAGAAAAGACGATAGAGTTTCCTCTTTAGACCAGACCCATCTTTTCTAGTTCCTGAAACGTCCGGCGTAACTTCGCACCCTTCCTTTGTCACTGCTGGCTCTGCTGGGTTGCTGGAAAGTTGCAGCCTGGGGTTCCTGAGTCTTAAAGCCCAGGCATATCTTGCCAAAGTACAGCTACCATCACTCTTCATTTCGGCCACTGTTGGTTACTTGTGTTCCTGTCTGTCCTTAGAACTAAATAAGAAAACAAACCAACAAACAGGTACAGACATTTTCTCCAGGCTTGTAATGGAACTTCAGGCTGACTGGGTATTTGGTGAATCTTGGAGGTCTAACTTTTTAATTTAAAAGTTGTTTCGAAAGAGCACTTGAGTAGAAATTCTAAATAACTGCCTGCCAGTTCCAACTAGTATGCCCGGGAACCCAACAATGAGAGACGGGTGTGCAGCTGTGGGCAGGAATAGGACACCTTCCAACACGTAACCGGGAGGCTGGGCTACATACTGACAGTGCAGTTGGATGACTTATTCTAATGGAGAGATGTCTGCCAGTGGGTACTACATACTGACAGTGCAGTTGGATGACTTATTCTAATGGAGAGATGTCTGCCAGTGGGTACTACACATATCCTCAGCCTCATTCTGTTTGTCTGGCACAGAGTCTTTAAAGTACTTATATGTGCTCTGATTAATTTATGAAGAGAAGATCTCATGTAGAATACAGACTGTAAACTTGTCTTGAAGTCAGATGATCTGGCAAAACAGGAAATGTGTGTCTCCCCTCGGATTACCCTGGCGAGTGGAAAGTGAGCAGTAGCTGACCTTGGTAGACAGAGCTGAACTCTCCAGCGTTCAACAGTCTCTACTACTCCATGACATCTGGCCTGCTGCCTGTTTGTTACTTCCCTGGATGCCTCAGGCCCTTTAGTCAGTCTGTTTAACCCAGGTTGCTTAGCAACACAAAGAGATTGTGCACAGGCTATATGTGCCAAAAACTGCTTTAAAACTCCTAACCCATTGGCTCCCCTCTCCCTTGATTAACTCCACTTAGCATTGCAACATTAGCCCTTGAGAATATTTTGACTCACCAAAGCATCGGTCTATGACTAACATGCCACTCTCAAATGACTGCACCGCTCATCCACACAAAGCCCTCGCGTCTAACTCTGGATGCTGACATCCGTAATTGCTTCAGATGCTGGGTAGGTGTTGCAGGTGGTGTGCTCAATGCACCCTGCACTATGTTCACACTCACTGCAGTCATCCAAGTGGCTCCCATGTGTCTGCACTGCTCTAGATAGGAAATATGTCCCTGTGAAGTTCACCTCTAGTGGGGTAGAGATGCTGAATAAACATGATACACCAGATGTTGCTGTTAGGAAAAAATGAAACGAAGTAGAGGGATTCAGGAGTGATATGGATCCTATTTTTGATGCAGTGATCAAGCCAATTTTAAGGAAGTGACATTTGGGCAAAGAACTTCAAGAGGTGAGCTTGTAAGCCACATTCTTATCTGCAGGATGAGCGTTTCAGACAGGCAGAAGAGTGAGGCAGGAGCCCGGGGCGTCATGTGCTCAGAGGCAGTGTGGCTGGAACTGAATATGCAAGGGAGAAGGGGCATGGGAAGAGAACAGAGAGCTCACTGATAGGCCAGAAGTGACATAACCCGTTGGATAATTTCTAAGTTAGCCTGTGGAAGGCCTTGTAGGTCACAAAGGGACTTCTGGCTTCTAATCCAAGTGGAAAGAGGAACCAAATGAGAATGTAAACGTAGCATTGGTATGATCTGAGTTAAGTTTTAGGAAAAAAAAACATTCTGTCATGTCCATATGACATGAGCATGAACACTCAAAGCTTTGTTCTCTATATACAGGCTTGAAAACAAATCTAAATGTATATATGATAAGGGAATAAATAAAATGTAGTATATCCACGCAATGCAATGTTTTCTAGAAATTAAAAGGGATGGAAGTCTGGTGATTTGTGCCTATAATCTCATCACTCAGGAGAGAGAAGCAAAGGACTGCCAAGTGTTCAGCCTGGGCTATATTACAAGTTTCAGGATAGACAGGACTGTAGAGTAAAATCTTGCCTGAAAACTGAAATAATGGATTTACCCTATAATAAGGAGATAATACCTCATTCAGACATAATAAGCTCTTAAATAAAAAGTTCAATGTTGGGTGTGAATTAACTCTTTTCATTTTGCTGGTCCTCTACATTGGACTCTCCCAGATATTACAAGCTATTGTCATGTTTGCAGTTACACTTCAGAACCTGATGAAAGATCCCATTGCTGAATATACCACATATCTATGTCATAGGATGTGGAGAAATCAAGCTGGTACCAACCACAAGGTTCATCTCTGCTGGCCAGCTTTCACAGAGCTGGGAGGTCTAAGAGTACTACAAGA